TCTTCGTTTGCAAAGCCTAGCCATGATGATAGTCAGTAGTTAAGTGAGTCAGGACTTCAATCTTTTAGGTTCTGGTTATATAACTGCATCTCTCAAAACCTGAAGGAAATTAAAAATGTAGCTTTACAAAGCAAATAAAAAGCTTTCAAATAATCATAGAACACAAGATGGGGAGTCCATTGTTAGACAAGGTATTTGCTAGAGAGAACGAGAAACTGTAAATGCTATTTAGAAATACAATCAGTGACCTGGAAAAGCAAGTACTACAAAGGATTTCTCAAAATGCGCTGATGCCAAAGCAAGACAGGTAGCACCTAAACTTAATAGTATGTTTCATAATAGATTATTTTTGTGTTGGTGAGTTGCTCCTCTATTTGGAAAACTGCTCTCCATTCAGTCCTTTGCACTTCTGTTTTCTTCTGTCTCACCTAGGAGCATTTCTTATGTATTACAGAGAATCACTGCCTCTTGGTAAATGTATTCAAATCCCCTTGCTGAAGAAATAAGCCTCTTCTTGAAAGAGATCATCTATTCAATAAAGCTTATGGCTTTTGAGGGCTACAAATCCTGTTATGCACACAGCATTTTTTAGTTTACAAAGCACTGCTTTGCATATGCAGAGCCCATACCACGTGCATCTCAAGACAGAATCATCCTTCCTCTTCCACGAACATATGGGAATACAGTAGGAGTTTGCTTCTGATGTAATCTCTTCAAAAGTATAACATGAAAATACAGCCATATTTTAATTACTGACATTCTGATTTTCTATAATGTTTAGGTATAGGTAATTGTATAACTTGTAAAACAAGAGAACTTCCCATGTTAGTAGTTCAGCAAAGGTCTCAAATATTTGCTCAGTCTATGTCCACATGCTTTTCTGCTGAGCTCAGTGATCGAGCAGGAAAAGCTTCAAGTGTAATCCAAAGGGCAGGGTGCCTGCTCTAAAACTCACAAAGAGCACAGCACTTCTCTGCTCTGACATAAATTTATTCTGTGACCCTGGGTGAAACCCCTGAATTTAGAACTAACAAAGGAGACCAACGATGCCTGGACACTGACAGCACCCCTGGTCCGGGACCTGAAATACCTTACTCTGTCAGAGCCACAGCCCTCGCTGCCTTTGGTCTGTGGCAGCTGCTAACACTAGACACTTCAGAAGACGGTATAAATTACCTCGCTTACCTGTAGCTTGGTGTAATTGATATGTTGAAGCCTCCATATCCATACAAGAAGGCAGGATGAGAACCATCCAATTTAATTCCTTTCTTGTGAATAATAAACATTGGGATCTTCGTACCATCTTTGCTGGGGTAGAAAACCTAAGACAAGAGAAGAACAAACCCGAAAGGCTGTTATAGTCACTACACAACTTGGTAACAAGAATCAGAGGTGATCACTTCTATGGTGTCCAATAAGTAAAACTTTCCAAGCAATCTGCACCAATTACCCAGGTAAAGTTCAGTAATGGCCATCACCTGCTTTGTTGCTTAACAGCTCCAGAAAATGTGTTAAAATGAGACAATACAAACATTATCATTTTTATCAATTATCACATAATTTATTGCATCAATCAACCAATTTATTGTATCATATCAATCAATCATTTATCATATCAATTATAATTTTATCATTATCATATTTATCAATTCTATACACATGGGAATTAAGAAAATGCTACAAAAACAATACAATTCTCTGCAAGAAAAGACTGGCCTTGCAAAAACGCAAGAACTGCATGGTCCATCATATATGAAAGCAGCAAAGACTGAACTGTCAAGGGCAATGAAGAGAACTAAAACCAGATTTCCAATCTAAAGTTATAATTTGTAAAAATGTCTCTTTTTCTAAATTCAAAATTTCAGACACTAGAGGACAGTGGACAGAGAAAAAACTCGTAGAGTGGTGACTTATTGAGAGCCCACTAAACATTATACTTTTGGATAACAAAGAGCTATGCTACTACCAAATAAATATGTAAAACTCTCTGAAGACCCAGTCCTGTACTGCTGACAACAGAGAGAATTCTTTGGAACAGCTGATGCAGCAGTCTTTGCTTGTAAAAACATAACGCAGAAGGCCAAAGACACTTGAAAAGTCCCATTATTTTGCTTTTAGTATTAATAATAATGCTGCAGAACCTCCAAACCCATTCAGCAAGACAAGTGAACTACCCGCTGGCTTCCAGTAAATCAGCTCCCAAAACACCAGGTACCCACATAGCACATGCTTTCATATGTCAATCACTGCCACAGCACTGTCTGAACTTAAAAGCTAAATTCCATGTACACACAGACTGCAATTGCTTAACACGGTTCCCATGTTTTGTTGTTTTGGTGCACATATCTGCCTCTGCACCCTAGGATCCGGTGTGACTTATTTTGCCAGCCAAGCAAAACACGTGGGTATGAACGCAGTTTACTGCTTGACGTGGAATTCTGGTCGACCACTTTTCATTGCTTTCACTTTAGCATCATTATTTGCAGCTTCTAGTCTAATTAGACCAAAGAAGAGGTAAATGAAGAATGACATTCTTATCATTTTGTTGCATGTTCGTAACCTCTGTGTATTTAAAGGAAATAGACCTACCATGCTTTATAAAAGCACATGATCAACAAGATCTATTTTTATAACCCATGAACCTCAACAGTAATATGAACCTGTGCAACACGTTTATTCTGAGCATTGCCTGTAATGTGAAACATGTAAATCCACGTGGCATGTTGAAAACAAAATAATGACATTTAATTTTATTTTAACCATTGCTGAGGAAATGTGAGAAATTTTAAATGACACCACATCTACTTCTGAAGGCTTCATCAAAACTTGTAGACATATTCCAGATAAAATTCAGTATTTCAGAGGCCCCAGCAGATGGAAAAAGTCAGAACAAAAGCCTGAAGGCATTTTCACACAGATGAAATCACTGTTTCCAGCTACTGCCACAACTATAACTTTACTGACAAAGTGCCGATCAGAACTCACTGCAGTAGAATACAAATGATTTTAAGTATTTAACTGATTGCTACAAACAAATAAAAGGTCTGATAGATAGGAGAACTGCTGAGGCTGGTAATGAGGAGTTCCAGAGAGACTCCTCTCTAAAACGCTATCCGTCAGTTCCAGCTGTTGGTGACAATTCACATGAAGTGAGCATCTTACCTTCCTATGTTTCCAGCAATGTACTGCTCTTGGCCAGTCCTTTCCCAACGATTAAAGGATGACGCTAATTTTAGTGTTTATTCTGAACAAGGGACTTTTCTTTTTTTAAAAAACCCAACTCTCTGAAAACTGACTTTAGTAGAACTTGGGGGCTTGCACTAGATGATCTTTCGAGGTCCCTTCCAATCTCTAACATTCTGTGATTCTGCAAACTTTTATCATCATCTGTTAAGATTAAATAACATACCATTAAATGAAAAGCAAAAAAAGAAAGATGCATGTCAAGGTGACATTTGCAATTTAAGAGTGTTCACTCCTATCTTTGCTAAAATAATGATTCTCCCTCCCTCCAAGAGAAACAAATGAGAGGGGGGTGGAAATCAATTCAGTGAGACACTGAGATATGTGAAGCTATTTAAGCTTCTCCAAACAGACAATTTTCAACAACTGATTCAATCTCACCTTTAAATTAGGTGTTATCTCTGAAGCAAGTCCAATGGTTTATTCATGTAACCGATAAAGGGACGTGCTTCTATCTCAGAGATTAAGGTAAACTGGAAAGGGCAAGCCCTAAAAAGAAAAATTTCTCAAGATGGTATTTCATGCCTAAATTTAGAAGCTGTCAACCTAGACAGCATTAAATGCTCATAAAAGGGTACCACCGTTTTCTGCTTTATCACACATAGGAGTGGATCCACTTGTACTGGTCACATTACATTACTCATCGCTCATATGTATTTTCAAACAAAGACTCATATCACTACAGCCATTAGCATATATAAGACAACAAATTTGCAAAGCGATATTAGAGGGAAAAGGATGGAGAACAATGCTTCAGAAATATTATTATGAATGCTGAAACTCACAATTCAAGTAGGGACATGCTAAAAATAAATATTTTCAGCCTCCAGGAATGCACCAGCAGTGCTGTGTGGTTGACAGGGCAGTCGTGCTGCATGCAACACTTTGTGCTATTCCAGGAGCATACGCTGGAGCAGCACAGCAGCCCTGAAATAGTTGTAGCTCACTTCATCTCACCCCAATGTCCCTATCTGTCGCACAGCAGAGGGGCCTCACTGCCAGAAAGTCTTGCTTTCAATTCAGATGCCGGAACCTGTGGCATAAATTTATAGTCCCTATTCTTATTATGACTCAGGGAGAAAACAACAGTTTGTACAATTACTCATTTCTATAAACTCCATGAAGAAAAGGTTATATAAGCTACACAAACAACAATCTTAGTCATTCTTCTTTAGTGGTGTTTTGTTTTGTTTCTTTCTGCTTGTTTGTTTGTTTTAAGCTTAACATTTGAAAGCAATTTATACTCTATTTTCACCTAAAAAAGACAATGGAAGTTTACTTCCAAAATAGTTTATGGAGTAAGTTTTACAAGTAGATACAGTTACTGCCTGTGTCAGAGGATTTGTAAATCTACCTAGGAGTTAAGTAAGATAAAAATCTGTACATTCACTCTTGGGGAGGACTTTGTCCTCCTAATTATTATTTGTGCAGTATTTATATTACGTGAATCTTCACTTCGGGAAGAGGTGCACAATCAGCAAGCATTGGAGACACAGACCTAAATTTAGAAAGACTAAGTTTATCCACTTCTGCCTCTACAGTGACAAGAAGTATCCTCTCCATCTCAAGTCATCAGGAGGCAAACTCCAAGTATTTTAGCTTTTGAAAAGCTTAAAAAGATTTGAAAGGGTGAGGCTGGAGACCCAGTTTTTCTATTGCTTGTCTATAGAGATAATATAGCCAGACACTGAGACTTACAAATAGAACTAAAATTAATTCTAGCGATCATACACTATGCACTTCTCCTGTGAGTAAATATGAAATCAGTATCTTTGAATATTAAAGGAAGTGATTCAATCATCACAACAAATAAACAAAACTAATCTGTCTGAATGCTCATATCATGCCACACAATTAAAAGTACCTAAACCTACTGAAATTGAGTAGAAACTTGCATTTTTAAAAATTAAAAAACTCAGCAATTTGTGAGTATTCAGTTTCACTTTTCTTCCTGTTAGAAATGTTTCCTCTGTTTATGCAATGGAGAGATTAATAGCTGTATGTAATTACAGGTGTTCGGGAAAAGTGCATGTATATCTGAATTCATCTTACTTTTACAATACTAAAAATCTTTCTAATAAAAAAAAACAACCCCAAAATTGTCCAGAGCTAAAATCAACCTTTTAAAAGTAAGATTCAACACAGGTTTTGAAATACTGTTGTAAAACACAAATAAAATTTATCTTATCCAGACAGGTCTCATGCACATATTTTAAAAGCTGTGAACAATATCTGAATGTCTAGAAACCTCTTCTAATTTTTCTGACTCACTCATTAATGGCAAAGAGAATTAAAATCCAATTAAAAAGTGATTAGTTTGACTTTTCAGAAGAATTATTTCTTGCAGATAATACATCGATTTTACATATGAAAAGAAACTTTGACTTCTGGGACTTGAAAACACCCCCTAAGTCACAGTAGGCTCATTATTCTTAGAAAGCCACTAGCAATTCTAAAAATTTCTCTCTCAACTTCTCTTTCGTGATTAGGTACTACATGCCAGAGATGCCAATTCTTCCCATTTCTTTGTGTGCTTGATCAAAACCAGGTAAGAGTTACACTTGTCATTAGACTGACATCCACCGTGCAAAAAGCCAAAGAAGTTTACAATGAGTGACTAAAAAGTATAAATCATGCTGGAATACTCCTCACTGAAAATGCGCATTCAACAATTTAGGTTTAATAACACCATGAAAATGCCTTTAGAATTCCTTTTGTTCCCATGTCTTCTATATAGTTTCACCAAGACAATTCCTTTTCACTTGGAACAACTGGAAGAACGTAGCAGCCTTGTGAAACCCAGTACTTGTCTTCTGCTTCTAGATAAGAACGGCTGCCCTCACGCAGGGCTGCCGAGATTCCATCAGTGACTACTGCAAAGCTACAGCCTTTCAAGCATCCGGTTTCATGTAAAGTATTCCCTTCATTAAGCACGAGATGAAGATTTCTCCTCACACACCAACATTTGAGATTTGGGGAAGAAAAGCACGAGGAATTTATTGTAAATTACACAATGTCATTCACATCTTCCAAAATGTCCCAAGTGCTTTTTTATAGGCTCATTATTTTAAAAAACCCA